ATTATTGTATAATAAACAATTATGCTCAACACGATCGACATGGTAATGTAACCAGTGTCATATAGTTATTAAGTGTGAACAGATATCTTTAGAGGGGGTCTTCGCTAATAGCGATAACATGATAAGGAACAAGTGTGGTGTTGATCATGCATTTACACATATGGATTATAAATGATTGTATACATGTATATCCGTTGCTAAAAAATCATTTATGTTCATTTTTTATGATAGCCACACTTTATCCTTGCATATCGTGGCTATTTCCAACAAAGACACTAAAAAAAGAATTTTAAAAAAATGTTGACTCGACTGGGCTTTGAACTCCAGACCTCTCACACGTGAAACGAGCGCGTTACCCCTGCACCACGGACAATTTATATCAACAGAAGTTGAATAAAATCAAATCATTCGTAATTTATAATTTCCACTGCATTTTGGGTTAGGGTAATTTCGAGGTATTTTGTTCAGCGTAAACCTGTTGTTTAAAATTGAAGTAAATAATTCAGCAAAAATCTTCTCGCCCAAACAGTCCAACATGTAGAAACTATATATTCAACTACTCGACAGTCAGATTTATTTGTGTAGTATTTCGGTCATCGATATCGCTAAAAATAGCATTTTCATTGATTACAATCATATTTCATCCGCGTAATTTGTGAGTGTGCATTTATTGACAATTCTATAAGCCAACGCTACTTTTAAAGTTTGAATGTGTAGTAATTTGTTGGACACTTGTAACAAAAACTTGTTTTTTTCTTTTTAAATTGCCAGTTTTTAAGCAGTTTTGAGTGAGAACTACATTGCGTTGTTAGGACTGTTGGGAAATATTGTGTAAGACCGTGGATGTTAGCTATGTATTTATCTGATCTTGCGATCAGAAAATACAAAAATAATACAGTATAGTGAATTAATATATGCACATACTGATGTTAACAAACGTGTGAAATGCGTGTTCGGTAAATAGCGTAACTAATAGGAACTGGTTGTAAACGGTTATTTCTGAAACATTAAAGACGCATGACATCTCTTATTGATATGAATTGATAAGTGTGCGATATATTGTAAAGCAATCGATTGCATTATGATAATAGAAAAGAAATCCAGGCGCAACCAACTGATCTATTAGGAACCAGTTTATAGGCGTGTTTATGGTTTATTGTCACATCCGTGTTATTTGTGCCGTGTGGCGGCTGTAAAAAGTCTCCACGTACATTTAATCAATGATGTTATATTTTCGATCCTTGAAGATCGTTCAGCACGACAGTATTGCATGTATTGTTATGTATACATTTTAGATGGTATTTTTAGTTTCTTGTATTTGGCCTTTTTCAATTTGGGTGGTTCCAGTATACCTACTTGAATACTGAAGAATCACCCTTAGAATATGTTGCCTGCGTTTAAAATTTGTCTTTTGACGTCTAGTCTGTGATATGCAGGCTTCATAACCTCAAATCCCCTTTCAAAACTCTACTTTATTTAGTTCCACCCATTGTTTTCTCGTTTAGAGCACACGCATTCTTTTACTTGGGGACTATACGCCGCTTTTCATGGAATGACTTGAACTGTGTCACTGATAATCGCCGTATGAACACATCTGCGGATGTTTCTAAATTCAAAATTTCACCATTATCGTGTTTAAATGTTGAATTCTGCTTAAGCCGGTGCTAGGGGGCGTGGACGGTAACTTGCACTTTCCAGTACCGTCCATGAACAGGCTCAATCAAACCGAGCCTGCAACATTTTACAATTTTGTCGTGTTGGGCTTTCTTTAGGGATTCTGTTTTTTAAGTCAATATTTACAAAATAAAACGTTTCAATGGTTTAAAATTACAGCAGGATAAATATTGCAAATACAATACTTAAGGTGACAACAGACACTTTCCGTGGTACTCACATAAATGTCATTTAAACCAACTTATTTTAGTAATAATTGTTAATTATTTAATTGTTGTGCATTAAATGTCGTTGATCATCATAAAAAATAAGATATTTGAAAAAAATGCCTTTGTAAATGATTGATTTTTAATAAAAATCCTAAAATTTTAAATCGTCATATCAAAGTCATTTTTTATTTTTTTGTCATCAAACTTTTGGAAAATAAACATACTTATAATATCTGGGGAAGCGTGTCTCAAATTTTTTCTATCTTTTCTCAAAAAAATATTACGTAACGTCAAACATTTTATGCGACTTTTTTCACCATACATATTACGTAATTAAAGATAATTAAGTCGCTGATTGAGCAAACAAAAATCCCTGACACGGTTCCCTCCGTAAATGAATTCCCTTTCATGTGCTTTAAACCGCATGTTAATTGCTTGATTATTAAAAAAGTTATGCCGATTCAAAGTTAGTCCGACCCGCATCAAACGAAGTGTCATAAATCGGCTGTTCTCTCTCGGACCCCTACGTTTCACGCTAAATAATTGCATAATACACAAATATCGCACCAGAGAGGGTCAAGAGTTGCGGTAACATACTCTAACAACATTTTATGACCCAGTGACATCTGACCAATTAAAAAGTTGCTGATTAATATCAGTTTATAACAAACATTTCTTCAAATCTTAACGTGATTTACCGTCCGTCTGGTATCGGTCGCACATGCCACGTGACACTTTCGGTAAAATTTGAGGCACTCGGTGGGGGGAAATGGAACGTATTTGCGCACCGCTAGCGGGGTATTTAATTGTTTCACTTTTTAAGTTTATTATTATTATCATCAGCATTATTATTATATTATACCAGTGTCAATCTGTCTGTGTATTCGTGTATGAAATTCCGTTAAAATATAAATTAAAATAACAAAAAACTGAGCTTCTGACGGTCTTTTAAAGTCCATGGTAGATGTACAAATAAGAACAGGATATTATATATTTTTTCCTTCAAATTGATATAAATGCTTCACATATTTTAATAGAAATAAAAGGTATCACTCGATCATTATGATCTGACCTTCTTGACTTCTATTATCATGAATACACGTATCATCTATGCACAACATAGAGATCCAGTTTCTACTGGGATATACAATAAATTCCATACTTTGTCCAAGGTTTATTAGTACTGTGTTCGATTTACTGGCGAACAATTTATTCAAAGCATTCACTGAATGTTACGTACATTGGCCGATAATTTCTTATTTTATAAAAAATAATAAATAAAAGGTAGACGATATTCATAAAAGATGTACGGTATTTGTACGATACATGAATTACGAGTGGTATGGACCAGTATGGATAGGTAATTCACGCATATATGGAACTACCGATTTCCCTCATTGATGCCTCAACAGGGGGCGGAGAATCCCGGACAATCCCCCTCCCGGACGATTCCCCTTCCATATTATTTTCACAACCCGGACATTTCCCCTCTCGTTATTTTAATAGGGTGGACTTTTCCCCTCCCGTTAATTTTATAGGACGGACAATTCCCCTCCCGTTATTTTAGCAGAGCGGACAATTCCCCTCCCGTATTTATCAGAGCGGACGTGACATTATACGGCCCTTAATCATAGCCGCCACTGCGTATCAAAAAATCTATAACCATTCTTATTAAAGATGACAGTTTTTACTCTTAACAACACACTGTTAAAGATCGGAACTTTTAAGAATCATTATTTCACAAAGGTGACATTATACCGCCTTTAATCATTGCCGCCATTGCTTAAGACAAACAAACCGGGGGCGGTCCATAATTCTTATATGGACTGGATGACGTCATATTAAATCTTAAAGTTCGTTTTCTGCCTGTTTAATTTGATTTTTAAAAATTAAATAACAAAAGAAGAGCATGATTTTTTTTTGCTGTATCGCTTTAAAATTATAATAATAATTCCGACTAGGGTTTGAAATATTTCACACACTGAACAAATAAATTATTATTAGTAAATTATAGTAAAAATGTCAGCAACAAAAGGGATGAAATGATTTAGATTCGGTATAATATAACAAATAAAACATGGCCTTTCGGGCAAAATGCAAGTTTACGGACTGGTTGGTCAGACCTCGGAAGGTATATGTCCCTCAGCTGCGCTTCGGGCCATATACCTTCCTCAGTCTGACCAACCAGTCCGTAAACTTGCATATTGCCCTCAAGGCCATGTTTTATTTGTTAAATATATATGTTCAACAGCTCTAATAAACAATATTATAACATATATATGTTCAACAGCCACGGGAGGGAAATTGTCGGCTCTGACAACAGCGGGAGGGGAATTGTCCGCTCTGCTAAAATAACGGGAGGGGAATTGTCCGCCCTGTAAAATTAACGGGAGGGGAATTGTCCGCCGTAAAATAATAACGGGAGGGGAAATGTCCGGGTTGTGAAAAAACATTCAAATTTACTGGGAGGGGAATCGTCCGGGAGGGGGATTGTTCGGTTATCGATAATTGACAGGTTACGCGAATAGCAGATAAAATGGTACAGGTACCGTTTTAAAACGTTTAAAAACACATTTTTTGGACTAACTGCTTCCAAAATTAAATCACGAATGTGTTCAGAAAAGGTTGATAAATCTACTAAGCAAAAAATCTCATTTTAGGTATTTTCAGTGATAATTGACTCCGTTGTCACCTTAAATGTTTTTCGTCGGACAATACTAGTTCCATAAAAATGTACGATTCTGTAGTGAAATTTTAATGTTGATGCTTTGAACTGAATATAAAGGCTATTGTTTACGTTTAAACTATATAATTATCAGAAAAAGCCCGACTATCACCAGGTGCCAATTTCAACCACAGTGCTTGAATTTGATCTTTGAAAGGTTTCATTCAAAATATTTAAGCATTAGCAATTTAGATTTTAAGACAAATATTTTTTTATGATTTCACTATTTACATATACCCTAACACTACATACAGTCTGGACTGTAATATCGAAATTATAAAGTTATTATTCAAAACAAATCTCTGGCTTATTTTTTTAAGAAAGTGATATAAATAAAATTCTTCATTTGAATGCTTTTACAGAAAAACCTATTACAAATTATTTTTACTAACCAAATTTAAGTTCCTCATTATTTCCTTTATATCTTTTCATTCATCAAACATAAGTAACACTTTAGCTTATTAGCAAGGTTATAAACGGAAGTAAATAAAACATAACTTCCTAGTGCGTAGTTTTTAGCGTATTATATTTAAAAGACATATCTTCTCCTTTAATCAAGATTTCAAGATTCAACATTTCAAGATTTTATTTCAAAAGAAATAAACATTATACAATGTCCGTCGCCATAAACAGAATGACGGTTACAAATAGAATATGAGAAAAAGTATGTAACTGAATACAAATAATGTTTATATTTAAAGAACACATATACATTGTATTTCAATATATGTTTGTAAATAATAGTATGCTATATATACCAATATCAGTATTTGAAAACAATCAATCATTCGTTCTATCACGTAATGCCTTTGCAAAGTAGATATATTTTGATAATCTATTAACAGTTCCATTCTTAGACTTTTTCATTAAAGATATAAATTTATTTAAGGTAGGCAAAGAGCAATAATATTTTGGTAAATGTTCTTTCCTTAATTCCCTATAAAATTGACAAACTAGTAAAAAGTGATATTCTGTTTCAATTTCATTCATATTACATTTTAAACAAATTCTCTGATCTCTGTCAATATTCCTAAATCTACCTTCTTCTATCTAAAGTCTATGTACTGAGCATCTAAATCATTACAAAGCTATTCTAAACTTTGAGTTTTTTTTTACTAAAGAAGGGTATTTTTCAAAATCAAAACTATCTTTTATAATCTTATACGTCTCTAATTTTGATGAATTACTAATTTCCGATAACCATTGTTGGTTATATTGATAATATATCCGTTGAATGGTGGTTTTTAAATCAATAACGTTAGGATTATCAAAAATATTAGCAAATCCTAAATTCTGAAACAATTTTCTAACATCAATCGACCATTTATTATGCCCCCACTTCAAAGAAGATGGGGTATATTGCTTTGCATTTGTCTGTCTGTCGGTCCGTCGGTCCGTAGACCAAATGGTTTCCGAGTGATAACTAAATAACCCTTAGGCCTAGGAACTTCAAACTTGGTATGGTAATTGGTCATTACCAGAAGATAAACCCTATTGATTTTGGGGTCAAGGGGTCAAAGGTCAAGGTCACATTGACCTTGTAGGTAAAAACGGTTTCCGATCAATAACTAAAGAACGCTTAGGCCTAGGAACTTCAAACTTGGTATGGTTATTGTTCATGACCAGTAGATGACCCCTATTGATTTTATGGTCAAAGGTCAAGAACACATTGACATTGTAGGTAAAAACGGTTTCCGATCAATAACTTAAGAACGCTTAGGCCTAGGAACTTCAAACTTGGTTTGATGATTGGTGATGACCAGCAGATGAACCCTATTGATTTCTTGGTCAAGGGGACAAAGGTCAAGGTCACATTGACTTGAAGTTAAAAATAGTTTCCACTCTTTACCTAAAGGACGCTTAGGCCTAGGAACTTCAAACTTGGTATGATGACTGGTCATGACCAGTGGAGGACCCCTATTGATTTTTTAGGGTCAAAGGTCAAGGTAACATTGACTTGAAGTTAAAAACGGTTTCCAATCAATACCTAAAGGACGCTTAGGCCTAGGAACTTCAAACTTGGTATGATGATTGGTCATGACCAGCAGATGAACCCTATTGATTTTGGGGTCAAGGGGTCAAAGGTCAAGGTCACATTGACCTTGTAGGTAAAAACGGTTTCCGATCAATAACTAAAGAACCCTTAGGCCTAGGAACATCAAACTTGGTATGGTGATTGGTCATAAGCAGCAAATGAACACTATTGATTTTAGGGTCAAGGAGTCAAAGGTAAAGGTCACATTGACCTTGTCGGTAAAAACGGTTTCCGATCAATAAATAAAGAACGCTTAGGCCTAGGAACTTCGAACTTGGTATGATGATTGTTCATGACCAGCAGATGAACCCTATTGATTTTGGGGTCAAGGGGTCAATGGTCAAGATCACATTGACTTGAAGTTAAAAACGGTTTCCACTCAATACCTAAAGAACGCTTAAGCCTAGGAACTTCAAATTTGGTATGATGATCGGCCATGACCAGCAGATGACCCCTATTAAATTTTGTGGTCAAAGGGTTCAAAGATCAAGGTCACATTGACTTGAAGTTAAAAACGGTTTCCACTCAATACCTAAAGGACGCTTAGGCCTAGGAACTTTAAACTTGGTATGATGAGTGGTCATGACCAGCGGATGAACCCTATTGATTTTGGGGTCAAAGGTCAAGGTTACATTGACCTTGTAGGTAAAAACGGTTTCTGATCAATAACTAAAGAACCCTTAGGCCTAGGAACTTCAAACTTGGTATGATGATTAGTCATGACCAGCAGATAAACCTATTGATTTTGGAGTCAAAGGTCAAGGTTACATTGTCCTTGTAGGTAAAAACGGTTTCCGATCAATAACTAAAGAAGGCTTAGGCCTAGGAACTTCAAATTTGGTATGATGATTGGTATGACTAGCAGATGACCCCTATTGATTTTGCGGTCAAGGGGTCAAAGGTAAAGGTCACATTGACCTTGTCGGTAAAAACGGTTTCCGATCAATAAATAAAGAACGCTTAGGCAATAAATAAAGAACGCTTAGGCCTAGGAACTTCAAACTTGGTATGATGATTTTTCATGACCAGCAGATGAACCCTATTGATTTTGGGGTCAAGGGGTCAAAGGTCAAGGTCACACCAGTTACTGCACAATAACTAAAGAAGGCCTAGGCCTTTGAACTTCAAACTTTATATGATGATTGGTCAAGACCAGTAGATGACCCCTATTGATTTTGGGGTCAAGGGGTCAGTGTCATATTGACCTTCTACTTAAAGAAGGTTTCTGACCAATTACTCAACAACTCAAGTTGCCTTGGTTGATATTTTTATATTAAACTAAAAATGCTTTTGGTATACACATTTGAAGGTCTTATGCAATATAACAACTTGGCTGTCATTAATGAGACCTACATGATTCATAAAATTTATGCATATATTATTTGGTAAGATTTGTAATAACTTAAATTGCTGCACACAACCTTTGGGGTCACAATAATTATTACCTTGTGACTAGTCATGACCAGTAGATAACCCTTATTGATTTTTTGTTCACTGGGTCAGAAGTCATACATAATAACCTGATCACATGACTAATTGGCTGCCGATAGGGGGCATACATGTTTTACAAACATATCTTGTTAACATATTGATTATTTCTATCTTTCATCATTAACAATTTATACATAAGAGAATCAGGCTGTTTAACTATTCTATACCAGTATTTTACAACACGTATTATGCGTAGTATTAACAAAGGTACCCTACCAAATTCACCATATACAGCCGCATTTGATGTTTGCTGTCTAACACCCAGAAATTGCTTCAAAAACTTTTTATGAACATGTTCTATGTCTGGTGCATTATGCAAACCCCATACTTCAGAACCATAATTGAGAATAGGCATAATCATGTAGTTAAATAATTTTTAACTTTTCCGATATTTCTAGAGATACGTTATCAAAAAGTGAATAAAGTGAGTAAAGGGCCTTTAATGCTTGTTCTGACAAAGATTTTTGTGCTTGAAACAAGCTACCGATTGACGAAAAAGATACACCTAGATAAGTTAATTTATTAACACATTTCAAAATTTGATCATTATACATAAATACATCATTTTCTTGTCTAGTACCTTTTTTACATATCATAACAACTGATTTTTCTGGATTAACAGTGATTCCCTATTCATGACAATACATATATAGTTTATCTAGTAACAATTGTAAACCACTTTTCGTATATGAAAACAAAACTGTATCATCGGCGGACAATAACAGAAATAATTTCATCTCTTCTAACGTAAACATCTCAACATTATCGTTATGCAAATATTCATACATATCATTGATAAAAAAGATAAACAACAAAGGAGATAATGGTTCGCCTTGTTTAACGCCATTATTACAGTCAATAATCAGACCCATTAACTCTAACACATGCTTTGACATTTTCATACATAACTTTCAACATTTTGACAATTTTAGAGGAAGCTCCGTAATTCAATAATTTTAACCATATACCATTTCTATATACAACATCAAATGCTTTACGAAAATCAATAAAAGCACAATATAATTTCTTTTTCTCACTATTATTAACTTTATTTATTATAGAATTTAAAACAAAAATACAATCTATGGTGCTTTTGCCGTTACGAAACCCATACTGGTACTCCGATAACAAATTGTTAGTTTCGACCCACTTGCGCAAACGTGTATCTAACATTGAAGAAAATATTTTAGAAAAAACACTAGTGAGGGTAATACCTCTATAGTTATTTACATCATCAATATTACCTTTTTTCGGGATTGGAACTATCATACCTTTTGTCCATATGTCAGGATATACACTATGTAGAAACATAAAATTAAACAATTTATGAAGACAAGGAAGTAAAAGATCACTACATTCTATAAATAATTCACTAACCAACATATCTACACCCCCACTTTTACCTCTTTTCAAAGAAGAAATGGCTGAATTTACCTCATCAATACTTCTTTATCAAGTTGTTCAATAACATATTCATCTAAGCTTTTCTGGCTCAATTAATCCTCAACTTCATTATTAATGAAAGCACTATTTTCCGCAAATAATGTTTTTAAATGATTGAAATATCTCTGGCTTTAGATTTTTTGTTTTTAATTTTTCGTTTTTCTTGCCAAAACTTTTGGGGCTGGTGCTTGGCTAAATTTTGTAGTTTTTTTCTGTTTCCCATTAAACTCAGACCGTGTTTTTTTAGCTTTTTATATACTCGTCGTTTATTTTTTAACAATTCAAAATTTTCTACAGTTTTATTCTGTTTAAGAGATTTATTAACAGTCCTGAATTCTCGCCTAGCAGCCTCACATTCTTTATTAAACCATGGGCTCTTATACGTTCTGTAACTTATATTGCTTTTATTACACGTAGTTTTGCCAAAAAACACTTTTAGTTTTATCATACAAAATATTAGATATTTCACTTATTCCAGCGCTAACATTAGTTTCTTTTGAAACAATACA